GGGAGGGAGGGAGGGAGGAGGAGGAGAGAGAGAGAGAGAGAGAGAGAGGAAAAAGTAATAATCTGGCGATATGAAAGAACGGGCTAGAAGAGGCAATAATTTGGCGACACCAAAAAATCGAATCGTCCAGTTATTTCGAACGGCCTCTATTGTCATTTTCGCTCCATTCTTCCTCACAGGTTCCTCTCGTTTTTCCTTCATCGAAAATCACAACAGCAGTAAAAAGTTATTAATTCCCAAACAACTTATCGCCACTAAAATGTTTAGTCTAGATTTTGGAAATAAAAACTGAAATTAGCAAACAATTTCAGTAAAGAAAATTCCATCATTTTGCTTATACATATCCAATAAATGTCAATATAATAAGAAACACAAAAAAGGAATCATTTGGAAGAAAATGGTACTAATCAGATCAGTGACAAACAACAACTGTTACTTATAGGCACAGGAGTAACAATAGATGATTATCCCCCATGTGACATCACCGATAACATCGATATTATTTGAAGATGAAATGCTAGTAAACAAAACTATAGAATTTACCTTATTTTTTCCTTTTCAACAAAAAATCGTTAGGGCAAACAAAAGAAACAAAGCTACAGGAAATTTTTTTGGGAGATATAAAAGGAAAAAAGAGGGCAATTTTAAAAAAAAGGAAAGAAAAAAAAATCTGAATAAAGAGAAAAAAACATGAAAAGAAACGATTATAAATTATGCAAAAGAAAATAAGGAGAAGGGAAGTAATTCGATACTGAAAAAAGCGTACCTCCGAATCAAAGGCATTCTCAACGTTGATGGTAGTTATTGCTTCGTATTTCGAAGAATTTCTCTGTATGTCGCCTAAAGTTAAGTGATCAGTTCGACTATAAAAGAAGCTAAGTTTTTCTCTTTTTTTCATAGCTATCGAAAGAAATGGAAAATAAAAAATCGGAACGAAAGGAAAGCAAAAAAAAGATTAAAATTCAGCTTCGGAAGTGTAAAAAAATTAGCTGCTTAATTTATTTCTTAAAAAATGAAAAAATGAATCTCCTCAATTAAGATCAAAGAGATGCTGATGATGGAGAAGACGGAAGGAAAAGATAATAATAGAAAAGATGAAAGGCCAATTTTCATAACCTCTCCCCCCTCATACAAGCATAAAAAATGTTGCTATCGTTTGAAGATGTTAAATGGCTTGTTGAAAATTTTTGCTCCAACAATTCATATTACTTATAATCCAAACAAACTGAGATGAGCAGAAAAATGATGACTGGAAGAGTGAGTGAGAAAATAAGGAGGAAAGCGATTGGAAAAGAGACTTTTGAATATTTTAAACTTGAAAAAAAATTTTCCTTACAGAAAGAGGATTGAACTTCAAATAGTAAGAATTTTATTATAAAAAATTGTGCTATGCGGATAATTTGAGCCCTAAATGCATTTGTGCTCGCCTCAGAAGCATACATGATATTTAATGATTTCTTTAGTTCCACTCTCCTCCCCAGGCCCACAAAATCTCAGGCTTCTGGCATCGATTGCTATTGCTAAACTTATAGGTAAAGCCCACCAGCGCAGACCCATCTAGGAATAGGGAAAGAAGCAAAGAGGACTAGTCATTCGATTTTTACCATTTGAAACTTTCGTTCGGAAATACAGCATTAAACAAAAAGAAAAAAAGTAAATGACATTTGAAAATTAAGTGCACTATTTGCTCACATGCTGAGTCGAATGGATATTCCGAGTAGGAGAATAATAACACTAATAACCATGCAATAATAACGACAATAACATCAATTAATAATATGGCATTTGATAATTAATAATAATTATTATAATGACAATTAATAATAATAATAATAACGATTCGCTTGTAGTGAAATTTAAAAGATACAAGACTAATGAATAAAAGCATCTGTTCATACCTCCATTTATACCGTTCATAAGGGGTATTATCATGCTTTCGATCTGCCTAAATCTCCTGGTTTTCGGTTTGTGGGCTGTGCAATCTTTGCTATAAAAGAAATGAGGAAGAAGGAGATCTCAAAAACTAACAATTGCGAATCAAGCTGCATAGAATAGGAACAGCCACCTCCATTAACGGTTAAACGAATTCTAATCGAAACAGCTTTTCCATTTGAAATGGTATACACATGGAAGATGCAAAAAAAAAAAACCTCACTAACGGGACATCTGAAATTGGATTGCCAGAAGTGCAGGGTTCAGATGAATGAATGATGGATATTAAGACCAATATTAGGTTACATAACACCGAACATCAGCTATAATTATGCATTGCAGTCGGATTTCCGAATAGTTTCAAATAATAATCCGTTTTCCCTTTGTCTTTCGTTCGCCAAATTTTCACGAAAGCGATAATATAGGGGACCGATAACTGTCTTGAGAGTAACCGATGAGAAGTCATCCGGTGGATGAAAGTGGATGAGACGAATTACAGGAGTGGACATGAGCAGCGATTTCTCGCTCATGTGAGGATTCAAACTTCTCGTTCAAGGAGAAAATGGAACGGACGGATGTAACTAGTAGGAACTGCTCAAATTAGGCAAGAACAGATCAAACCAGATCTATAAAATTCCTATCTTTAAATCAAGCATGCAATTCTCTTTTTATCCTGCAAAAAAAACACCGCTGCATTAGGAACTATCAAAAAATTGATTTACGTGCTTGCATTCTAGCAGACCTGAAGTTCATTTTCTCTTACCTAGACTACAACTTACTTCTTTTCTTACTTGACCTGATTCACATCCTAGTTTTATTTCTATCTAACCTAGCCCACATCCAATTTTTATTTTTAACTAACCTTACTTGTATTCCGATTACTTTGTATGCATGGTGCAATGCAAAACCATCTGCAAATTTTAATCATTCATACACCTACACAAAAAAAATTGACATTTTGAAATTTTCAAAATAAGCGAAAATTTCTTGAAAATTATCTAAAATTTTTATTCCAACCGGAATCTACTATCAGCAGCAGTTATAATCAATAACGTATAAATAATTAAAACATATCAGTTGCAATTAATGCGTAGCTGTTGGCATATACTTATTAAAGGAAACCTATATGGAATGTAATTCATTTATATTTATTACGATCAATTAATTAATCCTACTTGATGCAATTAAACCTAATCATACAGGAGTAACACATATTTTTAACGCTTTGCTAGCCTATACCCATTACAAGTGAGACTAATATGATTCACCACCTACATATCTCTTATAGTAAACATATACTTGAGCAATTTATCACCTACTGCAAGTAGATCTCATTGAATGATAACTTCTCGGCGGCAAAATACCCTCACTATATGCATCGGATAAATAAATGTGCACAAACGAGCTAATCGATTTCCAGCGATGACAGCTGACCTCTCTATTAATAGATGAAATGAAAAACGAAATTAATGTCAGATAATTGACCTAAGAAATTAAACTGAAATTAACTAAATTGAAATTAATCTAGTCGGAGCAGGAAAAACTAGGTCAAAAAAAAAAAAGTTATTTCCAAATTGTAGTTGTTTTGTTTACAGGTGATTTTGAATCAAAATGATCTATGAACAATTTAAGCACGACAGTCAATTTCGATTGAATATCTTTTCTCCTTAAAAGATGCAAAAGATTTGATGAATAATTTAAAAGATGCAAAACATGTTGAAGTAAGGAAGAATAAGAAAGGAGAAAAGATAGAATTTGATAATATATAATAATCATTATATCACATGAGTGACTTATTGTGTGTTCCCAAATCTTTAAAATAATATAAATTTAATATAAAATAAGACGAAATAATATTAAAAATGAACACATAGTGTAAAATATATATGTTAATTAAAGTATGTTAATCAAAAGCCTGTCACCACCTATTAATCTCATTGATTGATTATCATCTGTAAGGTAAATACAGCAGAATCTAAGCCCCCATCAAAATATGAGTGAAATTAAGACAATTACGATTGGCATTATTTGTTATTGAATAAGATTCAAAGATATAAGACTTGAAAAATACTTGGCCTTCTTATTTGAGGCGAATCTTATATAAATTATGAATAATTCAAATCACTTTTTAATGCATACACTTACTAATGCATACATTTTCAATATATCAAAAGAATTTTGAGCTTACCAGTCGCACTTAACATTGCATCGTTCACGCATCAAATATTACATTTTACCATCCAAGCGTTACGCTTTACATTTATACGTCTATGAAAGTTAAATTTAAATACGCAACGTGTATTTAACACCTTGAAAGATAATATTTGTTGAAATATGACAATTGAATATATTAGAATTATTTCAATAAATTATATTACAATTCTCCAACATTTTATGGTATACTTTCTTAATCTTTTATTATCATTATTTTGTGTCATCTAGGTATTATGCTATACATCCAAACGTTGACAGAATGTATCACAGCGAAATATATTGTTGTGTGAACAAAGATAATCGGGCTTTTTAACGTGTACAATAAAAAACATTTCAATTTCGAATATATTTTGGCTTATCTTTCAAGAAGTGCAAGTAAAGATAAAATTCATACACGTATAAACCTAATACGGTATAAGTATAAACCTAATAGCTTATATTTGACGCACTGACGTCTAGCTGACGTTTGAATGACTAGAATTAAAAAGTAACATTTTAATTCAACCGACAATGATGATCACCAGCGACCGACACACGTACGTCAGTGAGAGGAAACGAAGGTATCGCAAGAGTGTTCCTTTGATCAATGCTTATCTTGCAACGAAACCCTACCTTGCGTAGCAAAATTTGAGTCAGTAAATTCTCTGCTATTCCTTCAAATATTCGTGTTTAACAGTTTCGATTTGCCAATTTCGATTCTTATCCCATCTCTTCCCTAAATATATTTTTTCAATAAGCAGTTATAGAAAAACATTTTAACCATTATTCGGCTTTAAAATTTGTTGGATTTTCGTTTTGGTTGCATTATTCTAAGCATTCCATCAATAATGATGTGATCTCCATTTGATTCGTTCGAATTTATCTAAGCAGTCAACCATTCGTGATATGCTTACTGATCTGTTGAAGTAATTTGCAAGGATTTGTTGTCAAAAATTATCAAACGTGCATGAAGTTTACAGATTATGTTTGGTGGTTCGAATGCAACTGGTACGGGATTTACCTTTGGGTCAACTTCAACTACAACAAATGTGACAACAACAGGTACATCGGGAACAACGAAACCATTGTTTTCTTTTGGTAGTACTACGACAGCTTCTACCGCCACAACTACTACACAGTCCTCTGGTTTTTCTTTTGGCGCCTCGTCGAAACCATTGGTATTTGGTGGAACTGCTGCAGGTGTTCCTTCCAGTACGGGAACCACAACTGGGTTTAGTTTTGGATCCACAACCAATAAAGGTTCCTGCTATTCTTTCATTTTTATTTTTTCGGGTTAAGCTTATCGCGCAAGACTTTATTTCTTACATTTTTTCTTTTTTTCCTTGTCGCTCTCATGGAATTCAATCTAGGTGATTTACAGCACTTTGAAAATGACAATGGAGAGCTAATTACCTGACTAGGTTCCGAGTATGTTGGATTTTCAGTTAAGCAGGGAAGGACTTATTCTGGATAAGTGTGGGAACTTATTTTGGATAAGTGTGTAGGAAATGCCACAAGTAGTATAGATAGAAATTTCAAGCTAAGCATGGAACGGACACATTCGAGATAGGTGTGAAAACTTATTGCTGAAGGACATAACAGGGCACATTTGTGTTAACGATGATTGGATGTATTTTAACTAATAGAAGTTGCAAGCTAGTAACCAGTAGTGGTTCAGATTTAATCAATACTTTTTCGATTAGTATTATAAATTCCAATGGGGACGAGCCTTATGCGGATACATATCCAGTTTGGAGTTTTTCGAAAAACGCTTGAAAATGTTTCTCATAGAACGGATAGATGACTTTGATATTATTAGCTTTGTGAATTTCCGATTCCTTCAGGAACGGGAAGCATTTTTGGCAGTACATTTGCTTCATCTGCCAATTCGCCTTCGACAACTGCTGGTGGTGGATTTACGTTTGGTGCTAAACTGGCTGGTAGCTCTGGTGGTTTGTTTGGCACTTCCACAACTGCATCATCATTGGCAGCAGCAACAGCAGCAACAACAACTACTACAATAAGTACGGCTCCTGCAAATACGACTGCATCAATCTTTTCATCATCACTTGGTACAAGTTGATTTCTAATTGCACGACTTATGAGTTTATTCTGTCGTATTTCATTCGACAGTTTTTCCATTATATAATATATTTTCAAGTCGATCTTTTCGAAAACTTATCGGAAGATAGAAGTCAACAGTTTATTTATTGTTCCTTACTTCTTAATAACAAATCAGTAGGCTGGGATAAATTGATACTACACAATCATGCAGCTCTCATCATTGCATTATTATTATGAAAGAATGATCCATTTATGATCATGTTCATATTACATTGCTTTAGATATATTAGTAGTTTTGATATTAGAATATTGAAAATATCTGGATATGTAACTGTTTGGTAGGGTCTCTTCATCTGTACACAGACACGCAACTATGTGTCTAACATAAATATCTCTTACTGATCAATGCTGATGATGCTAACTGTACAACTGTTTATTTTAATATGTTTTGTATTCTGTAAAGATTATTGTGGAAAAAGTAGAAGGGAATTCCGACTGATCCAGCCATGTTTTTGAAATATCTTAGGTGTTGGTGCAAAGCCATCTTCATTATTCTCTAATCTCACATCACCGACGGCAACGACAGCATCAGCCACTACCACAAACGTGCAGCCATGCAGTGGAAGCCTTTTGTTTGGGACTGCAGCAACAACTGGTAACTGATTAAGGCTTACTTATTCTTTATTTCATGGTTCTGTGCATCTTTTCACATTAATTTGCAAATAATGGCATGTATCATTTATTTGCCGCATACAATCACTTTGTAAGATGTGTTCTGTTTATGTTTAGTAGCCATTGAATTTTACTGCCAGGAAATATTAGTAATAAAATTGGATACTTCCGTTTTTTTTATGGTCTAGTTTTAACAATCATTATTAGTTATTAGTTCGGACACGATCATTATCAGTATGGCGTCATTGCAACGATTATTTTCAGTAGCAAATACCGGTTTAGGATTTGGGTCATCAATTACAACGACGACTATTGCAACAACCAGTACAGCTCCATTTTCCTTTGGTACTTCAGTTTCTAATAGCCATCTTCCTGGCTCTTTGTTTGGTAATTTTTCTTTTTTTGTGATGTGTTGGAGATCTTTTATTTCTTACTTTAAAATACATGAGATCTACCTGAAACTTAGTGTCTCAGTACTGTGTTAAGTTGTATTTTAGTGTTCCTTCACTATATTCAAACTTAATTTTAAAATGATCTGTTAGATATTATATAATGCAAAAAGAGAAAATTGTCTACTGTCTTATTCCAAATGGTAATGGAATAAAAATTGGATTTCTTAAGTTGGATCATTTCTTATTTGTTTAACGTTCTGCTTGCTTGGATGTGCATAAAACGTCATGGTCGGCTTTTATTCGGCAATATTTATTCCCAAAATTATTTTTAATTTTTAGGAAGATTTTTCTTTTTTCAGGACCCACAATATTGCAACCGGCTACTTCTGTTGCTCCAGCTGTTGGTACTTCCACGACTGGTCTTTTTGGTCAGAAATCGGCTTCTGGCGGTTCATTCGATCAAGTTGCTGTTACAACATCTAGCACTGTTGCAATATCTGGGTTTCTGTTTGGTACTCCTACTACAGGTTGTTTTGGAGTTCTTGATAACCCTTAGTTCATTTTATTTTACCCTTTAAAATATCTTTGGTATGATTTACGGGAAATAAACAGAAAAATTATTCTATTTTTTTGACCATTTGCTCCGGGAACATTTTGAATTTGTAGTAAATATATATGCTTGGAATAGTATTATTATGCTCAGTGCACAGTCTATACCAGCAATAATAGGAAATATATCAATAACATTTGGAGTCATGCCGAGGTTTTAGGAGTCTGTAATGAACTGTATCTGGGGTGGGCAGTTAATTTTTCTCGCGACTCATATAAGAAATTAGAATGGTTTTCGAGGGCAGAACTAATGTATTCAACTCACTTCTACCCAATACTGTTTCCGTATGTATATACTATCCCTTCAAAAAAACAGTGAGTGAAACATTGTAATGGATTTACTGAAAGTGTGGAGGACCTAATTACATCATTATTTAATGTTGAGATGATGAACTTGTGATGAAAGATCAACGGACTGTAACATTGGAGGGTTTTGATTTAAGACAAGGAAAGAGCGGTAGGGGGTGGAAGATGACAGGTTTCTCCCGTGGTTTCGCGGGCAAAAAAAGAAACTTGCTGGTGGGCCGCGTCCAATTTGCCGGCCGCCAGATACCCAAGTCAAATCTATAAGAATCTTTTCATCATAGCATAATCGTTGTTGCATGAAACTTGTAGTAAACCTGTGAAAGCACCGAAGGTAAAACTGGAATACAGTCGTTTTACGATAATTGAGATGAACTCTGTATATTCTAAATCATCCTGAGGTTATCTTTGAGAGTTCTTCATAATAACTGCCGAACTAGGCAATTAAATTTGTAGATTTGGAAAAGAAAAGAAAATTGGAAAAGAACAAGTTTTGTAAGGAATTTAAAATGCAGTGATTTTAGCAAAATCAACATTTGGATTATCTACGGTAATTAGCACTGCTACACCTACTACTACTTCTACAATCACTACTACTGTGACGGCACCGATATTATCCTTTGGTTTCAACACCACTGCCCCTGTGACGGGAACCACAGCGCCGTCTCTGTTTGGTTCTGCTGCATCTTCATTAACTGCGACTACTACTACTGCACCAGCCGTTGTGTTTGGATCTGCTACTTCCGTGGCAGCTCCTCAATTTGCGGGATTGTTCGAGACTAAAACTACATCAGTCACAACATCGACAACTACGACGTCAATATCTGGATTAAGCAGTATGATTATTCATATTAAAAGCCACTAAAATTTTGGAAAATTGGTTTGGAAATGAATAAATCGTGCTAATATTGACTGACAGACGTCAAGCGGTGAGTGCCCCGGATCACAGAGTTGATTGAGCGAAATAGTTGATTGCTCGTATTACATTTTGTTTTAGTAGTTGATGCACTGGAATTTTTTATAAATTATATTACAGTTGACGTCCGAGATACAACCCTACCTTTGGCCACTTCCCCTTCGTTTTTTTAAAGGATTTGTGATTATCTTTTTTTTAAATGCAATCTTGTTCCTAAAAGTTATTTTATGCAATTTATATGTGTATTTCATCCAATCACCAATAAGAAAATGGTAGAGTTAGGTCAGACACAACTTATGTATCGAGATTTCGTTTTTTTTTTTTCACTAATGAAGCAGCTTCAAGTCACTTCAAGTATTGTCGTATTTTGTATGAGAGTATAAATGACCATGTTCCATCCAATATTATTTCTTTGACTGTTGCAAAATTAAAAATATTGATTTCTGTTGTTAGAAGCAATCCTTATGTCTTCAACTATGTATGCTGCTACTCACATTCTGTCCAAGAAATGCCAAAGCAGGGCCAGTTCTTGCTTGTAGTCTCTTGCGAATCAAAGCATGTCAAGTTCCAGGACATTTTGAAACAAAATTTTTTAGGTGTTTTCTTTCCTGCACTTCATTTGAATCTTTTTCATAACCTTCCGTGGAAAGGTACTAATATATGGGATATTCGATATAGGAAGTCCAAATCTCACTTTCAGATGATACCTTCTTAACTGAATATTATATCCATTGATTTGGATACAAAAGGCGACAGAATTTATTAATGAAATGTTAGCTGGTAGATTGTCAAACATTGTTTCTGTAATGTAAGGAGTGGCATTGGAAGAAGTGTAGCTAATATGAAAGTTTAATGTGTGATGTGTGTTTGATGTATGTTTAATTTAATGTGTTTTAGTTCACCTTAATATCTTTCGATCTAGTCGAACTTGTTTTTCCTGATTTGGTTTCAGATGCAGCACTTCCAACTCTAACGCCGTCATTGGCAACTACAACCAATAGTACTACAATGCTTCCTTTTGGTACAGGTGAAAATTTTAGTTTTTAGCCAATTTTTTATATGACATATTCAATTTTGTCAATAGCTGCATGGTGGTCTTTTTCCTTTTTTTTTCCCCTGCAAATTCCTTACTCTTACTATTAAGTAATTACCGAGTTTAAATTTACCATTGTCTCGTCATTTACAGCCCTTTCATATTGATTCGTTTATTACTGTAAAATTTAAAAGCATATATATATTATTTCCGTAAGTAAAACATATAAATGTATAGTTGATGCCAAATTAAGCCGCAACATGGGAGGCTTTTATTCTGAGTTTATGGTGATAATTTGAAAACATTTTGCATGAGCTTAAGATTTAAAGTGAGTATTGATGACCGATCTGCAGTTTGCTTTAACCTGTAAGGATTTCACCATTTAGTTTTGTGTCAATACTATTTTTTCGAGATGGATATTTCGTGTTTAGGGCCACTAAATGGATCATCAGCTACGGCCACCTCTTTCACTCCATCTGCTACTGCTGCGTTTACTTTTGCTTCAGGTAGTTTTTAGTTTTAGAATTGTATGTATTACCTGTATGAGTTTTTGTCTCTGCACTTTTAAAGGCCTGCAATATTTAATTTTCAGTTGCCATACCAACACCGAGTGCACTACCGCCAGCACAGCCAGTAACGAGGTGATTTTTCATAAGCATATGATTTAAATCAGTTTCAATTTTTGCTGTTCTCTAAGTGGAGTAATCTCGTAGTGTAACCTTTATCATCATACAAATACGCTTTTATTGTGTTTATGGGTAGACTAATGGAGTTTACGAAATAACTGGATATATATATATATATATATATATATATATATATATATATATATATATATATATATATATATATATATATATATATATATATATTATTATTATTATTATTA